CAGTTGCTCAGACAGATGCATGTTCCTGCTAGTTAACCCAGCTGTTAGTACGTATATTTGTTCACAGCCCAAAGGAAGATTTAAAGCAGCAGTAATACCCTATTTGGGCCAGCATTATGAAACATAACATAGCAACAATAACATTACTCAGTGGCAAAGTTTAAAATATCACTTATTTTTGCCACTCAAAGTGATTCTCTACCTGCAATATCCTAACACAAGCATGTACTTCTCAAGAGAAGCAGCCATAAATCAGGATAGTGAATGACACGTCTGACAAAACCTTGGCACAAAGAAGTGATCTCAGTAGCCTCCCTCTCACCAGTTCGTTGAAGCAATCCATATAATATTTCCTATAAGCTGAATATCTCCAGCTGTCTCTCCCTGCCAGTTTTCTCTGGCCTCCCTTGCTGAGGACCAGGCTATACAAAGTAAGAGGTAATATTTACAGCCTTCTCACCACGCAAACACACACACAATAGGTATTAACCACCAACTTATTAAAATCTCAGTCTTTCTGATTCACAGCCCATAAAGCCAACTGCAGCAGGTTTTGCTAATCTTAGCCACCAAAAATAAGCTAGGAGGAATTCTGCAATGCTACCCTGCACCTCAAGCCAAAAGCAGCTAAACATTGAGAGAAACCCTTTTATCCCAAATATTCTTGTTTTATTTGAGGTAACTACGAGGTTACTTTTTGCCTTTCTATTTCCTCCAAAAACTTTTGCGTAATCAGCTGGGCTAGGTAAAGGTTGGGTACAGGATTCAGATTCCTGTTAGGACAACATAAATAGCAGCAGCTAGTTTTATTCAAAGAGTAGTTCTGGGATTAAGTGTGCACTCACACTGGAGAATTTTCCCCTGCATGCATTTCTATTTTTGCCTCTCAGTTTTTTGGCCTACAGAATCATAAGCAGTTGAAATGAACCCTAAGTCTAAGGAATAAATGCACTTCCAAACCAGGAAGCTCAGAACTTGCAAGCAGACCTGGTTTGGGGACACTGTAGCAAGCTGCCGTGATGGATCTGCAATTCGGCGTTCAAAAAATTATCCAAACCCACTACTGCTTTTGATAATATATGACAGAGAAACAATAAATTAACTATGACACCTTCATAAGAAGGTCTCAATTTTTTTCTCAGCTGCAAACTGATTATTTGCAGCAAACCTCTGATTTATTCTTGCCACTCTATTCAATATCTGCTCCTCCTCATCTTGGGAGCTCCCTTTATTTCACGTCCCCATTTTTTAGTCCTCCACCATCCCCCATGTCAGTACACCTTTTCATTAACCACTCTTTTTTTCCATCCTCTTTTCCCATCATCCTTTCCTCATCTTTCTCCATGGTGCCAGCTCCTCCTCTTCCTCCTCTCATCTGAGAGGCATGCTACTCTTCCTGATCCCTGCAAATGAAGTTCCCTTCTTTTACGCTTCCCCCTATATACCACTACCTTAGGCTATAACTCCGTTTTAACCACAAACATTAGTATTCACATAGGTTAAGATTAGGGTAAAACCTTTTCTTGGTCTAATGTATAAGATACAGGAAATACTTTTCCATTGCTGTGCTGTATTATTAGATTCAATTTGATTAGTTTTGTTTGGTTTAACCTGCTTCTAAAATCTTGGTACTAACCAGCATCTGCGGTGAGAGACTGCACTACTTAGGCCAAAGTTACGAGTAGTCATGCATCTCTAGCACACAAAACAGGGAGAAGCTTTTGTTTCTTGTAAAGTTCTACCAGCCTGACGCCTGCATGGCAACTTAATTCACCCACCTCTGCAAGTTAGTCAGCTCCACTTTATATAGAGGAGGTATGAACGAGCTGCAAGACAGCTCAGTGCAGATAAAACATCACCACTGACTAGTTACCAGAATTGCTAAATCTGGAGACGGGTGCCGGGGCAGTCAGGAACCCAACGCTCCTCTAGCTTTTAGGCACATCCAGTCACACAATCCAAAGGAGTAAAGACTAGCTGGTAGATCAGTAGTCATCATTTTTCCAAGCCTGAAAATAAGTTTTCCCTTAAAAGCTTAATTGAATTTTATAACAAGAGCCAGAGGAAGCCCAGTCAGTCCATCTTAAGAGGCCAGATCAATGCTGCACCTTGGAGGAACTCGAGTTTGGTAAGGGAGACCTATTCCAGTCCCCACCAGCTCTCACAGCATTACCACAGCTTCTTAAGCATTTAAAAGGTCAAATAAATGAGGTTTTTTGGTCTCTCTCCCTCCATAGCCTTTACATGTTGTTATTTTACCGATAAAATCTGGGGAAAATATTCTGCTGGTTTTATAGTGCGACACGATTGGCAACCCCGCACTTTAGAAAAGTGTAGGTTGTAGCACGCATGACTAACAATTAATGACGCTCATTAAAAAATGAAGTTCTGATGAAATTCATTAATGCTTGGCTTGAGTCTTGCTAACAGTTACGCAACATTAAGAGCAAGGCAATTACAGATCTTGGCTGCAACTCATTGAGAGATAAAAGAATACCCTTTTTCCTGTTTAAATCAACGTATGACATGCTGCAGTACAAAAATAAGCTGTCTTGAAAAGCTTCTTCAACAATGAGGCACAGTCTGCAGCTCCATTGCCACCTGCGGGTAAGTGCTGGAGTCTATCATCCCGCTCCATTTCACGGGGCGCAGAGAAAGAAAGGTATCAACAGAAAATAATGACAATAAAGTCAGAGCCCTGCTTCTGACTTGCCCCAGTCAGTCATAAAGTCATCTAGCGTAGACACCACCTTTGGCCTCTCAGGTGTCTGCTACCATTTGAGCAATTTTACATATTGCTCCTTTCACACTCCTGAAAAATCTAAAAACCAGAGAAGCAGCTGTATTCTAAATAGCATGGCAAGAGACAGGGGCGAGGATAACCTGCAGATTAATTGTAGGGAATATTAACAGGGGGTGGGAAGGAAACAAGTCATGGTTAGCAGCTTAAGCCTGGAGTCTCGAGGAAGGCTTCCACAAGAGTATGCAACAAGAGGTTTGTGCTCCTGTCTCAAAGCCAGTTCCTGGTTAAAGAAACATTTTTGTCCCTACATGTCAGCAATAAAAGCACACCACGGGGCTTACAAAAAAAGCCTTCTCTACCTGTTCAGCAGCAAGGGTAGATTCTGAAAGGGGGCCACCAGCAGCACACAACCATGGATGTGCATAAACCAGATTCCAGTGCACTCTCACACAGCTTGACCCTGCTGTGCTAATGGGAGTAAAGCCTTCTATTTATCTATTAGCCTATAAACCTATATACATTCTATATAACGCAAATCAGCTTTCTATTGTTATTAAGGGTCAATGTGCTATTTTGAATTCACTCGGGGAACCTCCTAGGAATGCACATTTTGTATAGTTGATATTTAAATACACTACATGTTGAAGTCCTCTACATGTACCATTGTCTTCCCTCCTACTGTATGTCTGTAGTTTGCTCTTTATCTTGAGGAAAGGAAATAACCTACTGAGGACCATATTTTCTGAGATGGCCTCAAAGAACCCTCATTACTTCCCACTGACAACTTCCAGCACAGTAAGAGCTTGCTCTGCATTTTCCTACAAGTGAAGGATTTTACCTGGGGAGGAACAGAAAGATTCTGTGTTACAATGGATTAGTTCATCAGCACAGGAGATCTCCTTTTGATTGCAATTACAGCAGTGAAGAAAGGCGAGCCGCAGCTTAGCCCTGTGGAAAGTTTTGAGGACGTGGGCAGTGGACACCAGAGAAACATCGGCTCTTGGCTCTAAGCAGCAATTCCATAGGGACAAGTAACCCTGGATATCCAGTCATAGTCTGAGTATTCTCTATTAAGTTGAAAAACAATTCCTCAGCTCACCCACTCTGTAGCAGGGGCACTTCAGCAGCAAAAAGCCCAATGGAACTAAGCCACGCGTTTAGGTCAGTGAGAGCCAGCGATACTCAGAGCGTTTCAGAACCTGGGGCCACAGAAGTTGCATGTAGAGTGTCACCGTGTGAACATTACAATTCCAGAAAACAGAGTTAAAAGGTGGAGGTCTTGCAGATTAAGGAGGAATTTTTATATACAAAAACCTATTTAAGCAAAGATGCATGGGGTTCAAGCCTCCAGTCTCCTACAATACTGGGTTCAAGGCTTTTTCTTAGCCCAAAGATTAATCTACTTTTGCACTCAGGAGAACTTTTTTTTTTTTTTAAAAGGTTTTGCTTAATTTGCTTGTTCTCTCTCTCTCTCTTACTCCATACACACAAACTTTGGTAACTCTTTAAACAAGCTCACTACAAACAAGACCAAAATTTCATGTTTGGTCTATGCAGGAAAGGCCCATTCTCAGTGACAAGGACAGCAGGTACCAAATGGAGCACACACATTTACCTCAATAAATTCACAGCAGGCAACTGCAGAGGGTAACTCAAGCCCATCTTGGTGAAATCGCTCTCTTTAGGGTGCACGGCCAAGACGGAGGAAGCGGAGTTTTGTCAATATACATAACATCCCAGATAGCCCCCAAGCAAGCACCTAACTTTGTGCCACTCTCAGCAGACGCTCAGCCTTTCTTCAGCGCCACAGATCAGCCTGGGAAATGGGTCCCACGTAGTTAACGCAGCCCTTCGCATGCAGAAATTAAGCTTCAGAGCAGCTCAAACATTGCATGCTTTCCTCCAGTTCTTCAATAGTAGGAATTCCTACTGACAGCCGCGTTCCATCTAATTCCTGCCTCCCAGATGTGAAACTCTAGTGGCCAATGACCAAGCCTATTTAATATGCAAAACTGTTAAGAGTTAACTTTGTGCAAGCCAAATACTGGCTCATAAAGTATTTATTTTTAGCTGGGTTAATCCCAGGAGGAGGTATGCACTTCAATACAAGTCAAAAACCTTAAAGAACTCTCAAGTATTCCATATCAAGTGCTTTCAAACCTGGGGAAAGCAAAATCATCACAACATTGGCCAGCAGTGCAGTTAGAAACAAACTTTATTGTTGCAGTTTGAAATTATTTACACAATATAAATCTCTTTGAAAGGTACATTACTTCATTTAATCAGTGGTAGAAGGCCTTGTAATAGCTTCAATAACATTTAGTTCAAAAGAAATACAATTCACTCTAATGGATAAATGATGCATCGAAACTCCACAACATACAAGGAGGGTGATGGGGACTTCTGGGGGGACGACAGTGCTGGAAGATGACAACAGCTTATTTGTAAATTGGGCTTATTTTATTCACAGGACATAAATGGACTCATGTTTAAAAGAACACTGAAAAATAAGCAGTAACAAAAAAATGCCACAAAATGGAATATATCCTTAAGATGCTATGGCCCTGTTTCTGCAAGTATTTAAAGGGTTTTAGATAGCTGGATTAAGAGGCTTGAGATGGAACCAATTATCTAACTTTAAGTCATATTAAGAAAGATTGGATACATTCTCGGTGCTGAGACTATTCAAAGCACTTGTGTACAAAGCAGCATTATTAACTACCACAGATCGCATTTGAGATACTAAATGTTAAAAGGAACATTTCTACCAAAAAAAAAATTCTTTCACACACCAAAGACTTGACACCTATCATTTTTTGATAACACTTAATAATTACGACTACCAAAAGCTTAGAAACATGTACTTTTTTCCAGTTCACGCTGCATTTTATGGCATTGTATACAACATTTTTTGTGTTTCTCTTCCATAGTCTCTTTCATGTTGTGTTTTACATGGAGCTCTATGTGGGGAAAAAAAAAAAAAGAAACAAACCACTAAACATAGAAAAAACCTGAAGTTGCAGTACCACAAAACCAGGCTGGTGCAGTACCTGAAGTTATTTCAGCATTTATTTTCAAAGATTGTTAGCCTTCAAATCACTTGTTTGCCTTCTACATGTTCACACAACTTTTAATTTCCACCAAGATTTTCTCTGCATCATCTCTCTGTAAGCATCGAATCAAATGTATTTGGGATGTCCTTGAATTAGAGTTCCACACCATAGGGAACCCGAGACAGCAACTCAGTAATTTTAGGTGGCTACAGAAACAGATAAAGTCAAGTCTTGAACCAGAAGTCGGGTAATCTGGTGAAGTCTGGGCACCTGTTCCAAGATCATAACGGGCTTTGGGGCCATTCCAGTCCATTTTCTGACATTTCACAATAATAACAAAGCCCTTTAATAAGGAATCTGGTGTAGACCACCACCACTTATACTGTTAAATACACAGAAAAGCCCAACACACACTTAAGTTCGGCAAATTAATCAACTGCATAGGGTTGGTTGGGTTTTTTTTCTAACAGCCTTTCGGAATGTTTCTTCCCTCTCCCCCCAGGTTGGCAGGCTTCTTAATCACAGGAACTTAATCCCTACAGACTAATCAGAAAAAGTCACTTTAAAAAAGTAATAAAAAAAAAATCAAAGAATGCTTTTTCCAGTGTCTTACCACAGCACTCAGATGGAGCACCTCCATACAACTGGCACAGCAAACGTTCTGCGCATTTTCCTTTCCACTCCAGAGGCCTATAAGCCAGTTTGGTTTCTTCCAACACATCCCACCTGGATTTGTGTGGTTTCTCACTGCTGAGAGCCCCCTTCTTAAAAATGTTGTGGTTGGCTAACAGAACACCTACCTTGCACAAGACCAAAGGTAATGGCTTTTGGTATCTCTCACAACTAATGAAAACCCTGAGCTTGCAGCCCACAGGGATTAAACATGGGGGGAAGAATCAGCTGCGAGACTGCTCAACATCAGCCTTGCATTACCTCAAGGTCTGATCAAACACTTTCTGTTCTACCACTGTAATTACAGCCTGCCTGGCATGGAAGAGATGAGAGGAGACAGCATCTAATTCCAGTAGTTTAATAATCTAGCACACCTCAGAAGGCATCCAAGAACACAGTAAGCAACACAAAAATATTACACCAAATCAAGAACAGCCACCTCTAACGCAGACAATTAACACGTGGTGAACCTCCTCTGCAAACTACAGTAAGGACAACCCCAGAAAGAAACTATATTCTGCCGGGTTACAGAACAAAGGTTTGTTTCATCAGAAAGTCACTCAAATTTGTTTTAAGATTTCTTTCAGTAGGAGTAACAAAAAGAGTATTTTTGGAAGCTTCCATTGGCTAGCAAAAGCTTTAAAAAAAAAAATCTAAGCTTCACTTGGATACAAACTTTACCCTTTACAATTTGCTCTTGTCCTTAAATCATGCAAGTAAATAAACATACCCAATACCTTGCTACATCAAAAGCTTAAGCTTGAGTTTTCATGTGATTTCCTTCTACTGACCCCATCCCTCCTTTCAACCAATACTTCTCTAATAAACTCACTTCCCAGGACCCTAGTAACTTAGTGTCACCACTGATAAGCACGCATACCTTCCATCCGGAGCAGGTAAAGCTGACAGGATGTACAAACCGCATCAAGATCAATTTGTCAGATGGCCAGTGAGCTCTGCACACCTGTATTTTCCAGCAGAGTTATTAAACACAGCAGTGACAAGAATAAACTAACAGCTTGAAGGATGCTATGGAGTTCAAAACAGACAGTGAGAGGCAACAGAAATGGGAGTTGGGCATTTGGGTAAGACTATGCTTCATGTTGTCTATGCTTCCAAGATAAAAGACCTCTTCAGACACAGGCTTCCTACACAAAAAAAATTCCAGTAAGTAGTCACAGACTGACAAAATAAACTATTTCAGTCAAAAAGGAAATAGTGATGATTAAGTATGGAAAGTAAGCTTTTTATATTCTTGTTTCCCCTAATGAAGTAGGGTTGTGGGCACAGGGAGGAGGTGGAGGGAATGGCACACACGGAGGATACCTCAGGTAAGTTTCAAGTAGTCTAACGGGGCTACCAACAGTTCTAGTGTTGAGGAAAATGACTGGCAGAACTATTTTAGCAATTTGGGCATTTATTATAGGCATTTACAAGTCAGCAACTAATCCTATTATAAGGCTATATCCACCAAAAGCATTTAAGTTGGGGGACTTCTACCACAACCAACTCAATTGCTGTCACCATGGCAGTGCACACTTTAAGAGTACTTCAATTCCACATGCTTATGTTTAGAAGTCACCAGCATTCAAGAATGTATCGGAAATCTTTGGAAGTTTAAGTAAACAATTTTAACAGCCTTTCCCATACCACAGGTACAACACATACCTGTCACGTAGTTTGCCCTATGATTAGAATAGGCTTTCTCTTCATTTTAGTGATGTGTAAATTCCTTTATTCCCAGAATCATTCCCAAGAGCAAGATGTTGAAAAAGCTAATGGGGGAAAACAAAACAAAACCACACCTGATGCCCAAGGCTATAAACAGATGCCTTAACATAAAATTATTATGTTTGTTACACGTCAAGTTAACAAAAGAAGTCCGCACACAGAGTTAGATTTCTTCTTTACATCAAAATTTCTACAAAATAGGAGAGAATACAATGCAATACACAAGTCCATAAATGCAAGATACAGTACAATTCACACTAATTTACAAATGGTTATTTACACTGTTGTATATACATACGCAGTCAGACCTGGTTAATGCAAATTCAGTAAGTCCTTTTAAAATGCAAATCAAGAGGTGTAAATGAAGGAATCTAAAATTATACAAGAAGAGACTAGTTATCATTCAGAAATCTTTAATGCTTAGGTAACTTATGAAATTGGGCATGGATTAGCCAGATCTGACTGCAGAAATGAGAAGAAAAAAATTCACACTATTCTGCTTTACAAAAGCAACCAGGCCACTATGGTCTATTGACTTGATGCTATTTATGCAAGAATGCCGTTACTAATAATCCTCTTCATATTTACAAGATAGATTTAACTACAGTAAGAATTATTAATTTTGGCATTCATGCCCTTAGCGTAACATAAAGGCAACAGAAGATCTTCTTGGCAAGTCACAGTCAAAACTACTTAAGGATGTTTCTAGAGCTCAGTCATTTTTTTTGTCCTCCTTCAAATATCTTAACATTGCTATTAAAGAGACAGAGATAAATTAATTGAAACGAGTACATGTTCTCTAGTTTGGTGCTCTAGTACCTAACTTACATTCAGAATGTCCTGTATTCACAGTTTCAAGCGACCTTATAACCTGCCATGCTATTGCAAGCTACTGCTTCAAACTTAACACATCTGTAGATATTCCTTAGCAAGTGAGAATATCTGCGTGCTACTGGCTCAAACAAATGTGGAACAAGGCTCAAGGTAACTGGCGTTTCATTTTGGAAAGTGTTTTATAGTATTTCCACAGAACTTATCAGGAACTGTTTCAACCTGCACTTGTCTTGTAAGAAAGCTGATGCAAAGCAGCATATAAATGTGTAAAATGAATTTCAACATGCAAAATGAAAGCCTCTACCAGTACTGCAAAGTCAACCACTGTAACCTGTGATAATCCTTGTGCTTCTTTGAAGTGGCTCAGGAAAAGCTTGCAGTATTTACTATCTGCTTCAAAGTGCTTTTACGGGATTCAGTGGAACTTCACTCCACAAAAATGAGATTGAGCTGCACTCATGAAGAGCTTTGGTTCTGCAGAAGCAAGCTTCCACTCCTACAGTTATTGCTACTTGAGCTATACAAACAAAAATTCCACTGAAAAAAATTACAGTAACTCCAAACCAAATAGTACTGGTACCTAAAAGGGAATGTGGATTGCCAACTGTTGGGAAAGTCAGGGACTGTCAAGTGTTGGATTTCCCAAAACCAAGAGAACTTCACAGCCTTTTTCAAATATTTCACAAATACAAAGCAACACTGCCAGAAACAAAGCCACCACTTGAAGAAAACAGTAATAAGAGTTCAAAAAATCTTTATCAGTCTTACTTCCAAGCAGATCTTGCTGAACTTGAAGGGACTACCAAGACAGCAGGGTATTATTCAACATAGATCAATAATGTCAACAGGGAGAAAGTACAGAAAATTAAAGTCTTCAGTGCTTTCATGAGCTCTAGCAACATCCTTGATAATGACTACAAAGGAAAATATATCTATTTTAGCTATTTGTTTCTATTTAACTACCAAGAAAGTTTGTCCAGTATAGTAGCCTCCAGCTAACAAATGCTAACAAAAATGGTTCCCTAATTTCAAGTTACAAAAACATCCCAGTTCTCCCTTAAATCTTAAAAAAAAAAACACCAAACAAAAACCAAAAAAACCCCAGTATTTTTAAGGTTTTGACTGAAGGAAATAAAAAAAACTGGAAACATTCAAAGATTAATATAAACAAGTTACGAGGAAAAAAATTCCAAACCTTGCTTTTGTAAAATAACAGAATGCCATTCAAAATGGTCTTTCAAGGTGAAAGTTTTTCATTCACATCAATTTTCTTTGTCCTGAATCAATCCAAGCTTTTGTAAAGCACGTATGTATATATACGTGTGTGTATATACACATACACACACATACACACACAGTGTGCCATAAAGCAATTTTGAATAAATATCTTTGCTGGAGTCTGTACAACAGACTCCCCATAATATTTACTCTTCAGGTAAGTTTGTGTTTGCACGTGTATATGCACACACACAGACTTTGTACATGTGGGCACTTATGTGACCAAAGTGCAAAGTTTTTCAGAGTATAATCAGAGTTGAGTACATGCCTGCCCAACTCCACACTGCATTGTTGGGATTTATTTTGCTGTTGTGGGTTTTGTCCCCTCCCACCCCACCCACCCCCCTTTCAGACTTAAAGCCTTTCTTCCACTCAAACTTATACACTGTTTTCTTAAGTAAACATTTTCTTTTCATTTCACATTTTGTAATCCAGACCATTCTTGGTATAATAGCTTTAAGAAATAAGAAAATGTGAGTGATGATCAAAGCCCCATTGTTCAAGTCATACACTTTTCCATATTATCCTTCAAACTGGAGACTTCGAAAAGTAATTTGCTGCCACAGAAAAAAAAAAAGACATACTAGAATCTGCAACTACAGGACCAAGCATTTAAGACTAGAATCCAAGGTTAGAAGATGACAAAGCAGAAAGATGTCAACAATACACAAACTGTAAACCTAAGTGTGTTGCTCGCCAGTGCAACAGGATCTCTGTTCACTCATCTTCAGTTCAATAGCCCATTCCGATAGATACTGCTGAAGCACATCAAATACGGACACCAGAATAGTGTTCAAATTCAGAATCAAGTTCCAAAAAGGAATATAGATTTGGAATAGTGGTCTTTTGCTTTAAAAGTACACTTAGTTAACAAACAGCTTTCCCATAGATGTTAGAGATGGTACATCATCCATCAGACACTATGATGGTACATATCCTCAAGGAATCTGATGGCTGCAGAACTTTAACATTTCTACAGCTTAAAGCATCAAGAAGGAAAAATCAAAACGTTATTTATCATTTCAGCAAGCTGGTTGATTCCTGTCCAAAAGAAAAGTACCATCATATGGAAAGCTACCTCCTTCTTTCTTAAAAAAAGAGGAAAAAAAAATAAAGATCACCCTAACCTTTTTCCCTAGTCACAGCACACTGGTGATCTCATGACATGAGTCTATTATCACTCATATTTTGCTTGTATACATCTAAAAGGTTAATATTCATTGACCATGTTTTAATATAAGTTAATGCAACTTCAATAAAATAAGTTGTTAAACGAATCCTTTGGAACAACTTCACTGACTGCACCCAACTTTCACAAAAACTGATGAAAGCAGCAATGGAATCATGTTAAACTTATAATAAATAATTCACATACAACATATGTTAAATTACAAAGAAGGATTAAATTGCCATTTCTATAACTTTTTATAGATTTAGCAAGTTTCTAATCCGTTTTATATCAACAGCAGTACGTATGCTCTTCATATTAATTTTAACATTGAAGAACTGTTTAGAGGCATTATTTATAAAGCAAGAACCACCAAGTGAGCATTACGGAACTTCAACAAATGTTTACATTTTTTTCCAGTATCTGTTCTCAGAAAAGATTCATAGGTTGTCTATCCACTTGGTAAGGTTCTTCCTCTTCATTACTCAGGAAGAGTTAATGTCATGACCTCCAGCTTCATTTTGAAATACTGGTTAAACCGAACAATTGCATACCTGTTCAAGGAGAGAGAGATTTGAAGTTAAAAGCAGATAACTGCTTAACATGAAAACAGCCACACTAGCTAGGACTAGTCAAAAGTCCACCTACCCCAATACCCTCTTCCCAACATTGACCCTTAGCAGCTGCCAAAGGAAGATATTAAGAACTGAGCAACCATATTATGGTACTTGCTCACTGCCGCCCCCCACTCCCAGCTTGCTACAGTTTGCAAAACAGATGCTGTTCCAGGATTATCAAAGGTGGTGTTTTCATGTTTAATAGTTCTTAATAGACTGTCCAACTGACAACTACAATTCCAAAGAAATCTGATCTTGGTCACTTCAAGAACTACAATTTATTCAAAAAAACTGGCACATTTTAGGGTTCTACCACCTTGTGCTTTAACTTGCTTTTTTGTGCCATCTAGCGGCTACTAACAAGTACTTCTACCCGAGAACATTCACAAGACAACATTCACATTTATCTCATTTACAAAATGACACAACTAAACCCAGTAAACTGGCTTAGTCAGAACAAGACATTCTAAAGTGGGATCTTTTACCAAGCAAAATGATTAATTTTATCACCTCTCCCAGTCCCCAATGGAGAGATTAATTCCTCTGTTGCCATGAAAGACTATTTTAAAAAAATGCCAAAGACACATATCTACATGAAAGAGAATACCATTGGCCAGCATCTCAGATAACATTAATTGGCATTACAAAGACTCTTTTTAAAAGATCAGGAATTTTCAAGATCAACACTCCATGCAATAAGCCATAAACAAGGTCTTTTGTACAAGAGCCCCATTTCTTGCTTGGCTCTTGCAGTTGGAAACTTGGGTCTTGTGTCTGACAGATAGTACACCACACTGACCAACTTGGCTTCTATGCCTTTGTCTCTCTTACTGTCTTGTTTTCTCTTAAAAATTAAGAGTTATAGCATCATCACATGGACCAGGTCTGTTGCTCAGTTTCTGATAGCTGGGGTGTTGGACTAGAAAGCCCCACAGGCCCCTTCCAGCCTAAACTATTCTAGGTTTGTATGTAGCAAGCACACTTACCCTAGAAAGTCAAAGTCAATGGTGGAATATTTGGCTTGAATTAGAGCCCACAATCCCCAAAAGAAGTGGGAAGCCTGAAAGAAAAAAATTATTAGTGGAATATTCACATTACATAAAATCCAACATGTAAACATGTATTGACATTGAGACAAAGAGAACTCTCAAAAGCCAATCTTTTTGTAAAGTTACTTGATGATATCTCTTTGGTAAAGAGATGGGTAGACAAATATTGATTTAATTACTGGCAATGAGAGGAGTAAATCCATTGGCCTCCTGACTCTCTGTGTGTTGTTTTCAAGAAAAATAGTGTTGCGGTTACAAAATAGGTCATCTATTAAGTTGTACAACTACATACACCATGTTAAAAAAATACACAGAAACACACCTCTCTCATTTCTACTTTTGCTAATTAAATATACATTATTCTACATATATTCAACTCCAGTGCAAATAAGAAATTCCTTTTGAATCTTTGATTACAACCCTTAGGCCACTATAATTAAAACTCACTTTCATTATGGACTTGGACAAAGATAGGATCTGCAAGAGAACCTCTGCCTCATCAGCATTTACACAAATTTCTCATCTGTTCCAAACTTATTTTCATTACGAGTCCAGATAGGTAGTCTGGACGACTGTGTTCAGTTTCAGACTGAAACTGTGGATTAAATTAATGGCATGACTGTTAGCATACTTCAAATGAACAAATATATGTATGTAATGGCCATGAGCTTGGCAGTTTCCTTGTGGAAGACTCTTCTGGACCACCCATACACTTTAGACTTCTGTTCAGTAAATAACTGCTTAGAGTAATTACCTAAATTGCTTCCTGAAGCTTGCATGTAACATTTCACAAGAAGTGTAGGAGATGCATGCACACATGCCTGAAAAGACCTTAAAATGGCAACTGCTATATACACACATGATCTTTCTTGTACCTCTGGTTTACATAACTTTGCCTGATAGCGAACAGTTTGGCATTTTACACCAGCATCCATTAACTAGAGTTCGTATTTTCTCTTAACAAAGCTTCCCACAATAACTGACACAAGAGTGTTTGGCAGTATTTGTGCATCGTGTGTGTGGTCTATAGGCAGGTCTTGAGCTGTTCTCTAAACAGAACTATCCTCTTAAGCGTTAGTATGACCATAGTTTGAAACTGGCAAAACAATGCTATATATTTTAAAACAGACCACCAGCCTACTTAATTGCAGATCTAACTTTCCTAATTGGACAGCTGAATTTAACAGTAACAGTTGATAATACATATTTTAAAAGAATAACAGCAGACAAGCTGGCATTTTTTTAAAGGCTTGTTTAATAATCATCTTCCTAGAATATGAACTGTATTTCCTCACTGCAACCATTAGCTTTTTGCCAAAAGACTGAAGGTATTACAGTAACAGGTGTGCTTGGATTAGTCAGAAAGGGGACTGAAATAAGGCCAAAGTGGGTTCTTAGCCTTAGTCCTCCTATGAGTAGTTCGGCATGTTACTCTTCAGGAGAAAGCAAAATAAAGTTATCTAGCTGTTGGGTAAGAGGCACTTTCCCTCTTACATCCACCATGCAAAACAAGGTTGAGGCTAGTCAGAAAACTTAAAAATAATATGAACCTGTAAAGTATCTTCAGAAATCAGATATAGAGATAAAGCTGGGGGGCGGAGGGGGAGGGCAGGAAAACACCTTCAAGCTGCTTCTAACAGTATACATACATCATTGGGGCATTCAGGGACTCAATGCCACACCTATTTGACTTCTTATTCTACCTTCATGAATGGTGTATTTTTTCCCCTGAAGGACAAGGCACCAAAGCCAGCCAGAATCTTCTGAAGGCAGATGAAAATTGAACACATCCTTTCCAAGGGAAAGGACAAGGGAGTGAAGCTTTTACATTCAAAGTTTGGGAAAGGTAAGACTGACAGACAGGAGACAGCTTATAATGCCCAAGACACAGGAGGAGCAGGAAGCAGACTCACACAGACAGCCCTCACGCTCTACAGAAAGGCAGAACTTCCTGGGAACCACAGAAGACTACCTGTGCACTTTGCTACAATTTAAACCACTAAGGTGACCAAAACCAAATCTGAAAGGAACTCCCTGCTTGCCCAAATACTGTAGGCAAGGAAAGAGTTAAGGTAGTACTGAAAGACTCTACAATGACCTAGTTATCCATAAAAAAAAATTAAAAAACCCAAAGTATCCTAGTTTAACAAAATTTTATCATCTTCCTTCAAAAAGGCTTTTAATATCAGAAGATGTATAGTTACAAAGTGCTACCTTGCTCTTCTGTCTTCTTACCATTACAAGAAAGTTCAACACACACCAAGCATAAGCTCTAGCCAACTCGGGAACTTGCCAGACCAATAAACAGCCAATAGAAATAACCGCTAAAAGCTCATCTTGTTTTCTGAATGCTTACTGCTTCATCACAGAGAATTGTATTCTACAGAGAATTTCTAAACACACAACATAACAGCAAGTTTCCATAGAACAGGCTAAGGAAGTTTTTCTTTACATACCACAGCACTCTTGAGTAAGAAACTGGCAATTACATTTGCCCATAGAGTAGCAGGCTACTCTATAGCATTTAATATATTCTAATCAACAGTTTGCTACTTACCAGTGCAAACTGATTGACTTGGACATACAGAACTTCAACTTCTTTTTCACTGACTTCTGTGCCAAATCCTTTATATTCTTTGTAGGCCTCAAGGTAAGATCTCAGCCACTGTTCCTGTAATTTTCTGTTAGGATAAAGGCTGTAGTCTACCTCATTTACTCCTAGGAAAAGAAAAAACAATGCCTATTAGAACCTTACAGTGTCTAAAAAGTCCATTAGAATCACATTAGTGGACTACTTCCCCCCTCCTCATGCCCAACACACATGCACAAATTGATGTGGACAAACATCAGTGTTTTTACTTTGACCTTATTTTCAGTTACATGTTGGTAAGAATTTCTCTCACACAAATCAGAGCACAACAGAAAGATTATGCTGTGTATGTTTCCAGCCACATACATATTCTACTTGTATTCTGAAATTCAGCAAGTTTGGCTCTGAGAGAAGCCTCAAGAAAAAGCATTTGCATTATTAAACAAAAACCCTTCCACACATATCAAATATTACACATTTCATAAGAAAATACTTGTATGCAACAATATCCAAAGCTGAATCCAGATATACATATCCACTGTCACCAATTCATACTTCCAAGATGAGAACTTTATTAGACCTCTCTCCACAGGGTATTGGTAGAATTAGCAGTTTTATCTCCACAACCACTCTTTTTTTGTCCTGTTTTTCTTCCTGTACTGGAGTTGATTAGTCACAGGCCACATGGAGTCTGCTGGAAGTCCCAAACCTGGATCACAGTTCACTCTGACTACCTATCATTCCTGGAGGATCTGGGAATCCTCCTTAAGTCTTACTTTTATGAACAGCACAATCCCCTAGTACCTAAATTCTTTCCTGTGCCAGATTCACTTAAATTTAGCTTCAAAAAAAAAAAAATCAGATTTTACTGGATGGAGAATAGCAGAGGTGAAGAACAACCGTTCTCCATAAGCAAAAAAAAAAAAAAAAGAAGAAAAGAATTTGTGTTGTTTAGTCTTCTTACTGTACTTACCTCCTTAAAGTTGTAGTCAGACTCTCAGAAGTAGTCCCAGATGAAAAATCAAAAGCTCTCAAATATATTTCATAAAGAATTTAACTTGCTTCTCAAATACTTAAATTACCAAGTATACACTCTGAGTTTTTTTACATTAATCTAGACTTAACATTCAGTTTGTGAAACAAGGACCGGTAGATTAAGGCTCCTAATTTCACCATACTGCGCTTTCCATCTATACTAATCATTATGTAGGTTTTTCCTGTTGCCCCATCTTCTGAAATAACACTGCATACATCCAAGCTTATTTTTCTCTTATAGAGTAAACAGAATGAGCATTCACTGAAAAAATTTGAACTAGCAAATTAATTGAGTCTACTAGTACCTAATTTCTAAAATCTCACCTTTTTCCTACCAGAGCCTTACACCTTACTTCTCATTTAAGGACATGACTCAAGGGCAAGTACTTGGCATACACATGCAAAGCCACCAAAAACCACATAAGCCTGCCATTTGGAACTGTGGAACCACACAGTGTATTCTCAATATATACTTATGCTGTAAAAGATACATCCACAGTATTTCATTACAGTGGGCTGAGGCTCCACTGTATCGTTTCACAGACTGATACTATGAAAGCTGCAAGTTCTGCATTTATCTAACTCTGCCAAAACTTAGGACATGATATTCCCATTTCTGGGTTAGCAGAACTGCAAAGGAATGGCATAACTTTGGCCTGCGAGATGAGACATTAACACATTTCAATACCATCAGATGAACAGCTATATACATGCATCTAGATAAACAGAGAAAAGGAGAATGAATGTGCAAGAATAAGGGGGGGTTTTTTTATAGAACCAGTTCACCTTTACCTCACAAATGCAATTTTTACCTGCAAATTCATTGAAGTGATTTCCAATGTCATAAGCCAGGTAGTTGTATCCAGAGTACTCATAGTCTATGAACTGCACATCACCTATGTGAAACACAACAGCAGCAACATCAGAGTCCATATCAAATGAAGTCACAGCCCTAATCCTTTGGTGTCGTTTGAAGTTTTGGGGGAAAAACAAAACAAAACCACACACCCATCTTACTTGTGCCCCGTTGTGTGCACTCAGGCATTCCAGGGTAAGGCTGTGATTTTTATGATATCAGATTTCCTTGAATAGTCATTCAAAAAAGCTCTTAAATAATTACTTAGAGCTTACAGTTCTCCATTTTTAAACTCTGAAGAGCAGAATTTCAATTTTAACTTCTACCACATGAGGGCACCCCTTACCTTCAAAATAAAAAGTACAGTAGAGGATCCTTTATTTAAAATTTATGTAGAAATAGCAGATCAGTTTTTCCCCAACTTAAAAAAGAACAGTCCTGTTTATTCTCAAAGTGTGCAACCACAGTGGACTAACACATTGCAACATGTTGATATTTCCTTTAGCATGTTGATATTTCCTGCTTCCTCCAACCACACTTACAAAGCAAAACTATTCTTAATTGTTGCTTTTTTTAGCTGGCTTAAACCAGCCTCAAGAAACCATCAGACAATCCTCATGTCCTCAAAACTATGTACTATTATGTAAACAAGGACTAATAAAGCAGCAATCACAGCCCCAAATATTTCCAAATTACATTTGCCGATAGTGAAGCTGGGGAAAATGCTTCACTCAAGTTAATACAGCATTGAACCTCCTCAAGAATGTCTACACCACATCAAACAGTCAAGGCATTAACAAGATAGATTAGGTAAAACTAGAGTTCTTGCATTTTAAGGGAAACCAGCAAAACTACTAAAAATATCAGAAAAGGAAGCAATAGGTTAACTTAAGAGCTATTTGCACTAGAATATTAAAATGTAAAAATCTTGCATTTCCCACTGCTATGCTAAAAGGGGTAATTTTCACAGTTGCACCTTTCTCCCTCTCTACACCTATTCTTTTGATGACTAGCTGCATATTTACTCAACAAAACCATATTCCTTCTATTACAATGAACAATCTTCTTAGCATGACTTAAAACATCTTACAGATGCTAATGCTAACTAATCAGAACTCCAGGTCAAAAAAAAGTAAATCAAGAATAATGTTAAGTATGTTATGTATTTCCTAGACTAGATTTATGGATATTGCACATACCAAATACAATAGCTTTACCAGATAAATATCCTGACCAAGTTATCACAGAACAACTTTGTTAGAAGTGTTCCTTGTATCTTATGCAGTTCATCTTTACCATATTTGAAATACTAACACATTAATGTTTTCCAGGTGGATAAATCTTCCTGTCTAAGCATTTATAATGGAAGTTGAAACCCCAAAACACAAACAAAATCAGTTAGTCACAATCCTCCAAGCCATAGTTTACCCTTACTTCCACAGAAAGAGAGGATTGCTTACCAAGGTTATGAGGTTAAACCTTTTAGGCTCTGACAAACCAACATGAAAATGGCCTGCAGAGTGGCAAGCTCCTCCCAGGAAAATCTCGTTGGCAACGGAAAATTGAGGTTCTCTAGAACTCTGAAGGGACAAAAAATTTTACAGCAGCTGCAGCCAAGATCTTATAATATTGTCACAGATTAGCTTCTGCCAGTGCTTGTCTGGCAGATTCATATACGTATATGCTTGCATTTTCTACTGGTTCTTCAGTACTACTTTTAAAAACACCTGTAAGTTACAAGCCAGTCAAAATGCACAGCCCAGCCCTGATTAATATTCTGCTGCACAAATGACTTCCTTAACTTCCCCCTACACACACATCTCCAAACATGTGATATTGCTTGTATTCAGAGGGTTTTCCTTACTCCCCCACCTAAAATACAAACATAGCAGATCAAAGTCTACTTGCAAAATATCAACATAAGAAATACCTTACATTTCATTCATTTTGAATACACCTATGTGCCATTATGCATTTTTAAGTACAGCTAACATTTAAAACTTACTTCCAGATATAAATAACATTATGTTCAGTAAGAAATTGAATCTAATAAGATGCAAATGAGGCTGTTATCAGTCACTCTCCTATGGGGAAATGCATATGAACAAGTGATGCAATAAACCTCCGGTCAGTGCACAAGTAGCACGGTGCATGCCACCACAAGGCAGCAACAATGGCATGCCTAATCTGTAGCAGATGAAGAAAATTTGGCAAACTCGCATTCAACATGACAAAAGTTCAAAGTGAAAGAGTCCTGCATTTTTACTAATCTCTTTCAGACTTTCACCACTGTGGAACTCAAGGTTGAGTTTAAATTTTTGCATGAAAGGCTCAAAATAAAGATGCACAGTTCTTTCTGTGAAACTGAAAGCAAAAACTGTAAGTTTGTCACTTCATAAATGCATACATATCTCAGCTACCTTGTTTTAGAAGCAGCAGAAGAAACTTCGCATTAAGTGTTTAAGTATCCACAGTATTAGCAGTTAAGATTTTCTGCAGTTCATACAGGATAGCCACTTCTAAAAGATATGGCTTACACCAGTACTTAAGCAGCTAGCTTTTGTTTTGAGGTTTTTAGTGAGTATGAAGAATTTGTACATTACACTGATTTCACTGGAGCAGGCAGACCAACAAGAAACACTAGTCTAAGCACGTTTGTATTTTATTGAAGCGAGACACGATTTAAAACTAAGCTCTGTCATCTCTCTGGAGAAGCTACTGTTATCCACAGGAATAGAGACGTCAAGAATATTGAACATTTCAGGTTGAAACACACTCCCTTCATGAATGGATCTACTGCTAAAGACAACATGCAATGTGATCTATGAAAACTAAAGACACAAAATGGAATACATGTAAGTGTTCCATACACCAGAAATTCCATTTTTAAATAGATCAAGTAGTACTCAAGAGGACATCTCTTAGATCTCCTCAGGGAACTGAAAGGTAGGAGGGTGATGACACCTCTCTTTTTAGCTGCTCTTCACTTTTAATGTTTTAATAAAGTAAGCACTTTCAGTGTGCAAGTCCTAGCTGTAGTTACCACAGCAGAATGATGTATCCTGAGTTCCGTCCCATCCTGCTCATCAGGTAAGCCACTGAGGCCCTAGAAGACAGCTTCAGTAAAGACAACAATCTATGCTATGAACATACTTGAAAATTCACAAACGGGTCATTTACCCAAAGAATAATTTTAGCTATAAATACCCAATATAACTTTGCAAAAAAAAAAAAGTTTTTACATCAAAACCAGAAGCCTTAAACATACCTCAGTCTTCAGAAGCACTGAGCACCCACAGACTCCTACCAAAGATCATAGAAAACATTGGGTAGGCAGAGGGAATAAACAGAACAAAACTAGCCATCTACCTACAACACTTAGCTTCCTGGTAGGTGATTTTAATACATTCAAAAAGAGTACATAGAGATATAGACAAAAGAATACTGATACTTGGTCTTATTGAATAGCAATTACTTGAATACTCTTAAAACATCAGGTATTTTTGGACACTCCCAGGTCACACTGAAAAAAACACCAAACTTTAAGAGCATCAGAACGCAAGGTCTATAAATAAGCAGTACCAAGCATCGAGCATATTTTGACTATTGTGATGCCCAATTGTAATTGTAAGGTCTTAATTAGATCCTTCAAAGAGTAGTTTACACTGATAATTATGAGTCATGTAAAGTAACACTTGCAAATTTTCATATCCTGAATGACTGCAAACGGACATTAACAAAACAGCAAGAGGCAGAGTTCTCTCAGCCACAGCATGAACAAATTAAAATGAGTGACACTCCATTAAATGAAGCTAGTACTCAACATGCTATTCCAGTCTTATAAATAACATTTAAGGACATGGGACTGATTCTTCTTAAAAGCAGTATGTGGCACAACTACGATTTTTCTTTCAAGTCTGAAAATTTAACATTAATTTAATGCAGAGGACAAGTCTCAGGCAAAGTACTGGGACAAGCCACAATTGTTCTAACTGCATTGGACAGGAGTCCTAGTATCTGTTGATAGTCTGTAGCTTAAAACACACATACACACACACACACCCTGTGCCTAGCAAACATACAGATTAAGCATTCACAGACAAAATTATGATAAATAGTGTTGCTAAAACCAATAAATGTGTTATTTTGTTTGTGCCAGCTTCTGAAAAGCCAGATAAACACTACCAGCTTTGCTCAAACTTTACTGGGGAGAGAAGAAAAAAAGTAACAGTTAATCTAGAAGACCGATTCTCCCTCTTTAGTTCCAGCTTAGGGTCAACCAAGGTCTTTTTGATAGACAGGGGCTTTTCTGGACAAGAGTAAATTTAGTAAGAGCACAGCATCACCAAAGCTGTAAACTACCTGCATACAGTTTGATGTCATTCCTAACGAAGTACATCTTTAAAGATTCTTTTTTCTGCTCTTGCAAAATTATTTGTATACCAATAACAGCTTTTGCTCTGCTAAACAGAATTCCAGCAATGCATGTTTATTTACATTTAAAAGCTGAGCTTCCACTTCTAAAATCACATTCTTCATCTGAAGATTATACTAGCAAACAGATTGATTTTTATTTTTTTTTTTTTTGCTCCATAGAAGTACACTGTAAGAAACAGTTTTCAAACAACAGACTAATATTCTAAAGATGGCATTGAGGTTTGGTTACTACGAAAATGGTACCTGTTGTACCGAGATTGCAAAAGTTTTACAACACAGTACATGTGCAACATTCAAATGTAAGTTTAATAAATATATGTATTTCATATGTCAAAGTCTTTCCCCCCCTCGATGTTTACAGCTAGCTTGAAGCCAAAGTGCTTTAAGTACCTCCCTCCTCCCCACGCTGTCCCCAAACACTAAGCACTCACACACTCGTTATTGTAGGATTGCTCATAAGTGATGCACTGCTGGCATTGTTTTTTCCTCCATTCTGTTCACAAAAAGAAAAGCATACAGCATTTGTTTTAAAAGTAGGAACGTCAAGCCTATTGACCATGATACTGAGCCTTTTAAAGGAATTCCTCTTATTTTTTTGGCAGCATAGTTCTACTATGAAAAGTGACTATAAAAATTACGTTTACTTCAATGGGTCTGTTAAGGAATGCTAAAACTCAAGGTAGTTTCAGCACTGAAGAAATCCACACAGTAACAATAGATTTATTTTTGGTACTACAGTATCACAACTCCGATGTGTGTTAAGACCACAAGCTGATTTTTTTTTTTTGCGTACCTTCCATGCTTCCCCCTTCTCCTCTTTTTCAGCAGAACTATAACCTACCACTGAAACTAAGTAAAACCACTGAAGTTTCATACTGAATTCTTAGAAACTAAAACTGCCGTTAAAAGCATTATACAGGTATATACATATATATAGGTATATATGTATATACCTATAGAACTGTAAGTACTAGTAATTCCTTTCAAAATGGTATTAACTTTGAGGGAAGCTTGTATACAAACCACCAAAAGACTATTTTCTCAATTCACATGCATTCAGTACGTATCCAGTACGTATCTGATGCAGAAAGTGATTATACATACACAGACGGTTTTCATACAACTCCAGCATGTTTTTCTTAGTTTTTATTTAGAAGGTAGCAAATAAGCTTAAAAGGTCAGAGACCAATGATGACTGATGGAAAATACTTCCGCTCCATTCACAGTCATTTACTTCACACACTTTCGGCTTACGTATCAACAGTCTTATAATCGAACTATCACAAACATATGAAGCTACTAGAAGCAACACATCATCCTCACTTCAAAGGAAAATCTTGATCTAATGTGATGAATTTGTTGCACTCAGCTGAGCTCAGATATTTGAAATGGCAGGAAAGGTGTGCATTTTTACTGCACCACAGCTATTTTAGAGTCACAAGCTTGCTTTTTTTGTTTTAATATCCTGTTTAATTGATTAATTTCGTAACCGAACCTCAAACCAGTAAAATCCAGAAGTAAAAGAAACTGTGGGTTTATACAGAAGCTTTACAGTTTTTAATTAAGGCATTCTTTAATAACATGAATTATGAGTTAAATTTATTATAATAAATACAAATATAATTCATCTTTACTAAGACGTGTACTGCCTACAACTGTTTAAATAAAGTATGTATTTACAAAAGAAATCTTTAAGATGCCTATGTACCTCATGCCGGAAATAAATTGAGTCACAGAATGTAGTATTAAGTGTCACTAGGATACCTCATTATTAAAGCATCTTCCCACAATCACAAACCAGAACAATACACGTTATAAGAGATAATGTCTTCAGGTTATTTTCTACACTTGTATGGTTTGGGGTTTTTTTCCTCCAAAAAGCTTTATACGACTAAAATGGAATTAACAAACAATTGCATACTTTAAAGCCTAGTCGTACAGGCAGGCTGGGGATTAACAAATTCATTAAAGTAAAGCAAGGAACACCAACATTGTTCTCTGGTACAGCAACATATAGATGAGAATTAGCTAATGAAGCAACTTAAATATTTGCACAGATACCACTACATTGGGTCTTTAAAAGCTCAAATTGAGTTCAATCGGTAAAGTCAGTAAAATGACACTACTGATGTAGCAAACGCAATTGCAGCATAAACAAAATAAGCCACTACTTACTGTTCAGTTCAGTACCTACCTCGTTTCTTGTTGTAAATAATATTCTTACACAACAGGTCATTGTGACAGAGTACCACTGGTGATCCTAAATTTGACAGTCTTTCCTTCATCCAGGCCATCTCTTCCTGAAGAACTTGAGAACTTGGAATGTCACTTAAAAACCTTTTCAGGTATAACAAGTTTGAGTGTTAGTATTTAGTACTGTGTGTTCCATACCCAGTATTTGCTATGAAATAACTTAAGTTGTTTCCCTCTACATTCTTATTTCAAATAATTCAATATGTGCTCCGAAACTAGAGCACTCTTTTGTAAGTACTATATATACCTATACAGAGGAAATGAAGATTAATTTTTTTTCTAGTCACTGTAAGAATGCCACTGTAAGTAGGCATTTTCTCTTAGATTTTCAGTTAACCTCTCAAATCTTTTCAGTTTTCTTAAGTTATGTTGTAGACTGAAAACAAACAACTTTGCTATAACAACTTTGCTATATCATTCTTTAATTACAATGCAAGAAGTGCAGTTGGCATCAGTGATTTCAAGGAAGTTCTATGAAGAATGTTTTTAAGCTGGAATCTGCTTACTGAGAGATATGAAGTTTGAGGATATTGTACAAACACTTCCAAGTTACAGTTTTAGCTTAAGTTTGATCTACAATCCCGGAGAAACTTGGTCTTCAACTCCAGCTTTAGATTACAGAAATTTTGTTTAGGTTAATGTAAATGTAAAACATTTCTCCTAGTTTTACCGTTTCTCTCGTCCCAATCTTCTAGTGGCTGATGCTACGACCCTTTGGAAATGTTTTCTTATTTTGTTAAGCTCCTGAGAAAGAACAGTTCGCTTTACAAGTCAAGAGCTATACTGGGATGCTAAAAACAAAACGTAGTTAAACCCCTAAACCCAGGTGAAACTCCATGATAGCACGAGTCTAGACCGACCTTTTCCTCCTCTGGGAAACACTGTAGGAGCTTATCCCGTCACCCAAAACAGCCTTTCATTAACTTTACTTTTATATAAATATGTCCAAAATTGGGTGACAAACTGAACAAGTACAGGACAGCTACAAGGCGCAGGTTAGACCTGAACAATCCGCAGTACTTCTGCAACTCCAGGAAATATGCTTTCAGTATTAACCCCAGAACGCAGGTCTCAGTTTGGGAGACTGACAGATCTCTTAAAAGCTATTGAGACACAACTACCTGAAGTATTTCACTTGACCCCAGTTCTTAAAAGAGTAAAGAAAACTACCATCATTTACTAAGTGTCCAATTAAAGAACTGTATGTGTATAAATATATACACAATATTTCAAATTAATTAAGAGTCTCATCATATTTGACATTTATATAGCTACTTCAGTATACAAAAGCATGACAAAACTCAATTTTACAAGCTTCAACATTATCTCGTAACCCAAACCTATTTTTTTCTTCAAATATTCTTCTACCCCTCAGACAGAAAGAATGGGCAATCTGGAAAGCACATAATAAAATACCTACCTTTTATTTACTTCCTCATCTGTAAATTCTGTGGGTATGAGAGAGAAGTATTTCCCCATCTTCAGCCACAGATTAGATTTAGGGATCCATCCATTGTGTGCATGAATAGTATGGATTTTAGCAAGCTGTCTAGCAATGAGTCTAAAAAAACCAAAGTTTAAATTAACGTATTTACAATAAATCTGACAGTCTATCATATTTTTCCTATCAACAAGAGAACGCAACTACAATATATTTAATAGAGAAACTGTAAAAAAAGCTGCAAGGGAGTCCAAAGAGGGTTTAAACAAGAGCAGCACACCTATAGAGTAGCATCTTTAAAGACTTAAAAGGTCATCAGAGGGGAGGCAGGAGGGATGGGAGTTCAGTTACAGTAAGCATACTTTCACCTGTATTCAGAGTCTACTGTTCAACTTGCTTGTCTTTAGAGGAGTTGACTCAAGTCAGCTGCCATTGTTAGGCAAATACATTTCAGTGCATAAGTGAAAACCTGTTCACTGCTAATAGTTTAGAAAATTATGGAGGACTATCTTGAACATATTCACCAAAGGAATGTATTAGAAACAGAGCTAGGAGTACTTGCTTTAATCAAGTCTAGCCCCTTACAAGTCCACCACAGTAACTGATCTCCCTAGTGGTAACTGAGAGCATTAAATTCTCACAATAAACAGACCTCTAATAAGTATATAGTCTTCTGGGGAGACAGCAAGGAGCATTTGTTCACCACTGAAATACCATGATAACTAAGACAAAGGACAGCAAGCTCTCAAGAGCATGAACATCAGTTTAGTGCAGGCTTATAGAAACATTTCTTTTCTGCCTGCTCATAAACTAAGCTTGAGATCCTTGGGGCCTGACAGAACACTAGAAATGCACTGCAGAGCTTGAGTAATGAAGTAACAAAAATTAAAAAAAAATAAAAAGCTTACCTGAAAATATCTGGATTGCATACATGCTCTGGATCCAGCGCTTCTCCCTGCATGAACTCGTAGCACAGGCCATTATTGAAAGTACAGTATAGTTGAGGTGCACAGCCATGAGCCTGCAACACACGGAAACTCTTCACTTCCTCATCGCGATCTACTAAGAGCTCGGTCTTATTTCCATAGATCCTAACTAGAACCACATCGTCTGTTATGTCACCCACGTAGCAGCCAATTAGTTTATTGGTGATTCCATCAGTGAACAGCTGAAAAGTAAAAATAACGCATAAGCAACTCCAATCTGTCATTTTTAACATTCAGGAAAAGAATGCAGGGTTATTCTTTAGTTCACAAAAGAAGTGTCTACTAGATTGAGCATTAACAAAAGAAATCTTTAGAAAATTGCAAGGATTTTTCCCAGTAACACATGAAAAGAGGAAAATGTGAAAACATGCTACAGTGAACTACAGAAATACTACAGGTAAAGGCAGTAACTGAAAGCTCAGTATTCTAAAATAAGATTCCACATAACCACTCTGAAACTGATGGGTTAAAAAGGCTGAAATTAAAGCCCCCAAGAAGACAGCAATCCTTAAAACAGTCAGGAATACAGGGAGCATGAAAACAAAAACAATTTTGATGCCCTTCAGAATTTCAGTATTTGCTGATCAGTGCACATCTAGTAAAAGATACTCCTGGAGTTCTAAACTACTCCTTTTAAAAAGCAAAATTCAGGTCAGAAACAGTTCAAGGTTGTGATTATCATCTTCCCACCAGCCTTGAGGTTTTACCAATTGATAACAATTCCTGAAGTCACTTTGGCTCCTCTACAAATTTAAGACAGCACTGAAAATTCAAGACCCCAGTCTTTAGCCTCAAGTACAATTTCAAATTTAAAAGCTTCTGACACAACCCACCATCCTCCCATCTTACTTCACAACTACTACATGCCATTTAAAAGACTAAAAAAGCATTTCAAGACCTTACCATTAAGCTGTATGTAAACACAAAACTTTTAAAGCCCTGCAATTTACCAGATTTTGACCAGTCTACTCTCTGATGCCTGAACATACTGAAGATGAAGCAAGTAACTTTCTACAAAAAGTAAGTCAAGAGCATTATGTTTACATCTACTGACAACCTACTTACCACCTTTCAAATGACAGAGGCATGGATACTACAAGTTCCTAGCTATGGAAAAGCATGGGAGGGTGGGCATCATATTTGATAATGAGGCCTAAAATAGTCCTTATACAGGCTGAACTCTTGCAGATGCCCCCTGACAAGCAGACTAGATCCTGAGTTACTGGGCTGTATGTACCCAGTTGCATGTAGTCAAGCATTTGAAATCCCACTCAATGCCTGCAAGAGTAACAAAGCAGTTCTTGATCTCCTACCATCTGGGACCATTTTACAGCTCAGAAAACAGATGTTTGGTGCTTTCAAACTCTTTGCACTCTGTCAACCCAGTCTGAATGCTTAAGAACTTGCTAGGTGAGCACTACCCATATCTCTAGCTATTAGGTAAGTGACTGAAGGGCAAGACATTAGCATTCGCAGGTGACAAGCACCATCACAAGCAAGAATGACAGTGTTTTCATAACTACTGAACAGTCTCCTGCAATCTTAAGCATAAGTAGTAAACAATTTAAAGTCAAGGTTCTCACAGCAACTGTAATTTATATTTGAATATCATATTTTAAGTGGTTACAGTCATACCTCTTCATGCCTCTTCTCCCACTCTGTTGCCCACACAATACTAATTAAAACTCAATTAAAAAAAAAAAATAAACCCTCACACAAAGCACAAAACCTCCTTTCAGGACCTTGCACTAAAACAAGCGAGCAGCAGAAAGTAGCTTCAAGTTGCTTAACATACGCAGACATATGCCATTTTCCCTTGGGTGGACATCTTGCAAGTTTAATTTGACACCTTTCTTTAGGAAGTGCTTTTATCATTAATTCTCAGTTAGTGAACTCTTCTGGCATATGCACAAGAGACAAATGGAGATCTGGTCTGATCACCATTATCAGAACAGTTTCAAACTATGTAGGCCCTTGAAGCTGCAAGCAGCTTTTATTTAAAGGCAACCTGAAGACTCTGGATAGAAATTTTTAATTTATAATTGTAACAGAAGTCAGAAAATCAGCTGAAAATTGAAACCTGCTATTTATCTGAATTAGAATACTAAGTGTTCGATGACAGCAGTTTGAATTTCTTACTCAGACGTCCTCCCACATTTCTTCTCCCTCAACCCCTAAGTCAGGCCCAGAATGAAAATACTGACAAATGGAGAGGTCTGTTGCATTTCAGACCTTATATTAAACATTAATGTTTAAAGAAAAAGTACTTTTTTTCCCATTTATTAAAATACACATCAACAACAGGAAACTTTTCTACAGGCATTATCATTCCTTAGAACCTTAGACAGTTTGGGGTTGTTTTTTTTTTTTGAAAGCCAAACACAATATATAAAATGTATTTATTTGTACAACGTATTTATTCATAGCCTTCCCCCTTCTAAGTGTACCGTCACAGAACTATTTAGATCAGAAGGGACCTCCTGTGATCATCTAGTTCAACCTCCCTGCTCAAGCAGTCATTTAGGGACATTAGAAAAAGCTCTTATCCTGTCATGGCAGGACTGAAAGAAAAGCGAAAGTTCTGTTGATCTAAGAAGGCTCAAAACCAATAAGTGTAAAATTCACTATCCCCCCCTGAAGAAAGAGAAGACTGTTGTCTTTATCAAATGGCAAAGGCAGCAAACAAAATAGGCAATTTCTGACATACAATGGCACCACTTCAAATCACTGGAAATTCCGCTACTGTTTTCTACTTCTTCTAAAACAACCCTCTAATGAAGCTTGCCTTTCTCTCCCTAGAAAATTGTACTATAAAAAAAGACAAGGTCCTAAGGTCATCAGAAATAGTGATACTACCAAAAAAACCCAGATGTTAAGCAGTACTGATGCAAAGAAACAGTAAGAATGCGATTTGCTTATGCTGTTAAACAGAAACTTCTGGCCACCGTACAGCTTTTGACATGCTGCACAGGTCTATTATCCCCTTAAAACAAGTCTCATTAGCATGAATAAAAAGAAACCTACAGCAAGGAAATTGGACTCCCTCAACTGATAATTTAGGTACTCTACTTCTTATTAGCATCTATTTGTAACATGCTGCTGTAAGTAATTATTTGCACCCAGGAGCATTTTAGTTATTGCTTCTTAAAAAGGCATAAGGGTTTGCTTACTTTTCTAGTAACATTATCCAGACTAGACAATTTCCATATTCCATCATGAGAAAACATCTAATGTTTTTTACCAGTAAAAGAATGTGATATTCAGTTTATTCTTTGATTCATAATGCCTTTACTGTAGCATTTAAAGAATCAGCTTAGAACACCTTGCCTGAAATGTAACCCGAGATGCAGCAAAACAGGAATTCTTTAACAAAAGCATCAGCTGAGCAGCATAAACAGAGATCAGACTCTGATGACATGGACAAGATAATCAGTAAACTCTCACCGCCACGTGGAAGATGATGGAATAACCTGCAGAATGTTATGAATAGCAGGTAGAAAAGTCTGGAAACCAAGAAATACACAGAACCAACAGAAGTCAAGAACACAATGCAACACAAAATCCAGCAGCAAGATTCTGATACTCTTGTAATTTAATTAATTTAAATATTGTAATTAAATTAAAATTATTATTATATGTACTTATCACACTGTAGTAAGTACTTTCAGGTGAAGTGACACAAAGTTAAAACGAAATTCCAAAAACATTTCTGGAAATTGTATGTATACTGGCCCACAATCCAGTCAGAGATCTAGCTTCAAGTCAAGGCTAGCTCTTGGGAACAAATATAAACTGTTTAATGAAATGCAGAGTGAAGGCAAGAAAGCTACAAATAAGCTTGAGTTACTCAAAGGCAGTCTCAGAAAGCAGCACATGGTAGAAACAAGACAGGCCAAGCGAGCTAGAAAGTGTAGAGAAAACTCAACCAAGACATGAACTATCTTTGAGACAGAGTTTACCCTAAAAGCACTCTTATCAGCATCAATCATAGAATTGCTTAGGTTGGAAAAGACCTTTAAGATCATCAAGTCCAACCCTGACATCCCACCACTAAACCATGTCCCTAAGCACCTCCTCTACCAGCCTTTTCAATACCTCCAGGGATGGGGACTCGACCACCTCCCTGGGCAGCCCATTCCAATGTTTGACAACCCTTTCAGTGAAAAAATTTTTCCTAATGTCCAACCTAAACCTGCCCTGGCGCAACTTGAGGCCATTTCCCCTCGTCCTATTGCCCATTACCAGGAAGAAGAGGCCAAGGCTGACCCCCACCTGACTACAGTCTCCTTTCAGGCAGCTGTAGAGGGCGGTAAGGTCTCCCCTCAGCCTCCTCTTCTCCAGGCTGAACAACCCCAGTTCCCTCAGCCGCTCCTCATAAGACTTGTGCTCCAGACTCCTCACCAGCTTTGTGGCTCTATGCAACACCTTTCTTGCAGTGAGGGGCCCAAAACTGAACACAGGATTCAAGGTGCGGCCTCACCAGCACCGAGTACAGGGGCACGATCACTTCCCTCCTGCTGCTAGCCACAGTATTCCTGATACAAGCCAGGATGACATTGGCCTTCTTGGCCACCTGGGCACACTGCTGGCTCATATTCAGCTGGCTGTCAACCAGCACCTCGAGGTCCTCTTCCACCAAGCAGGTTATTCAGTTCCTCAAAAGGGCCTGTGATGGACATGTTCCCATGTCATAAGAAGGTGGTTCAACAAAAGCCTATATCTAATCCTATTGTTCCAAGTGTTCAAAAGAACAAGAACAAAATTACAGTCACACATAATAAGCATGAACAGGCAGAAATAAAGTATGAAAGGGGCAAAGTAGAAATCACTCACAGAAGATGTAAAACCAAGCAGATTTTTTCCTTCTAGACTGTTACTACATCCACAGAAGGAAAAATATAGAAAGCAGTATTATACTGTTGTAGAAACAGAATAGTGATGTGAAGTTTCAGCATAAACAAGTAGGG